GGAAAGCTTCTAATTAGCAAGTGGATTTTCACAGCCCAGATCTTCATCACTATTTATGTGTTTAATTTCTTACTGCCAAAGCAATAGGATATTGAACCACTGACTTCAAAAGGAGGATTTGTGGGAGCAGCAGGATCTTCATTCTATATAGATTTTTAACTAACATTTTAATTTAATTGAGAAACTGTGCATTTCTAATTCACTTTCCCTCTACATCTTCTTGGCTTGGATCATTCTTCACAGTTTTCTTGCTCCTTTCTCAACTCCATTTACCATAGAAATGGGAGGAAAAAAAAAAAGAAAGGCAACCCAAAGCAAAAACAGCCACAGCTGTGTTCCTCATTAAAGACAAGAAAAACACAGACTGTCTAGAAGCTCTGGGAAGCTGAGTATCCTCAGGAGCAGGGAAGTCAGGTGGGGAACAATTTGCAAGATACCAGTGTGCTGACTCCTGGACTCCAGCCTCAGGGGACAACGTGGCTGTGTGCTCAGGGAAGATGCAGCAGCCGATGGGCAGGTTGGAAATATAGCAGCCAGGAATTTTTTTACCTTTTAGTAGCCTCAGGGTAGATACTTGGCAGTTATAAATGGATCTGTTGGTCAACAGTCACTCAGCTTGAGTCCCTGGAAGAACCCACTGCTGCTTTGCTGCAGCAGGACACATTTAATGCTGTTACAGGCTCGGTGGAAATGCATGTGGAGCTGTGAGGGTGCAAGCACCATTGGAAGCCCTGCATAGACCAGGCTTTTGCAGGCACAACTGTTTCAGCACCTCTCTCAAGCAAGTGCAAATGTCAAGGCTCTGGACAGGTGAAAAGCGTGTTGTGAATGAACCAGTACTGATAACAATAAGTAATATTTTCTTTTTAAAGGTCCATGGTGTAAAGAAGGTTTATGAGGGATTGGCCATGAGGGGATCAATCTCCCTCACCTATTTAATTCCTCCTAGGATTTCTTGATGCTTTTGTCTTCTGGAGCAAGGTTTCTGTAGGAAACCAAACTGTGGAGACAGCACAGAGATGCAAGAGAATAAGCTGACACAGAACAGCAGTTAAGGGTGTATCTCTAATAATTTACTGGAGCTCACCCTCCTGACCTTTCTGTATTTAGATCAGCAGGAAGGGTGCATAATGAGGGCTGCAAGAGGGCAATCGGGTTCTTACAGCTGGTCAGGCGAATTAGTGTGAATTGCTTGGCAGTTCACCAAAAGCAGACCAATGAGGGCTCTTCACAAGGGAAAAAAAAACAATCTTGAAGGTGGCCAGTCCATGGGTAGGATTTTTCAGATTTCTAACCTACTGTAGAGTAGAACAGTGGTTCAGTGTTTCAGAGAGGCACCACAGCCATGGGCAAGTTGCCTTTGTCTGACACATTTCAAAAACCCTTCTGCTCCACCACCCTCTGCAGTTTCTCGCTCCCCCCTCCCCTGCATGCTTTTTCCCCATGTCCTTTAGTGTCGCTGTGTCCTGGAGGAGTAGGGGAATAGTGAACACCTAGCACTTTCCTCACTTGAGCACAGGGCTGTCGAGTTTTCAGCCTTCAAGACCATGCTCATCACTAGGCATTGCAGAGGCAAGATCTTTTGTAAAGATAACTCCTGGGAGCCAGGTACTTTAAAAACCTTCCCCTCCACACCTCCTCCAATCCATGCAAATGGCAGAAAATTGGCTTATCCTCTCAATCCTCATGCTGTCATTCCCTTTTCACCTGGCTATTTAATTTCTGTGAATGTGGAGAACCTGCATAAAACCAGAAGTCAGCTGTAAAGTGCGGATATTTATATTTTTGCTCCAACTAGTATGGCTGTGGCATGGCACATGCTCTCTCTTCCTAATACTCTCCATATGTTCTTCAAATTGAAATGTGTTTTCCAGTAGATGATAGTTACTGGCTAGTGGCATCCCTCTGAAATTATCTAGCAACATTTCCCTGCCCTCGCTATGACCTGGATCAGGTCAATGGAAAGAACCAGAGCTGCTGTGTCCTAGAAGAAGATGGAAATGGAAATGCATCCCTGCAGGACTGGAGAAACTACCTTCCCTCTGGTGCAGTTTTCCATCTGCAAGCCATCCTTGCCACGGCAGACAGCTTCTTGACCTCCCCTCTCCTCTCCCAAGAAGACAGTTGCTCCCCTTATATGGCCATGCTTTGGGGCATGAATGGTTATGGGTATTTGGAATAAGTAGGAAGAAAAAAGATGTGTGTGGTTTCAGTATACAGTATTTCAGAAAAGCTGAGGCATTGTACAGCATTGTTGGCCATCTACTCATCTCCTCAAACGAGCAGCAGGTGCTTCTGATTTTGACTTGCAGAGAGGCATAAGGGTGTCATGAACATTGCATCTGCCTCACGTCCATGTTGCCATCCCTCAACCTCTGACATCAGCATGATGGCCAGGGCCACTGAGCCTGGCTTGCTCTGCAAGCAGCACTTCTGTGGGCTGTTTTCTAGCATTGCCAAAATCATCAGCCTTTACCAGGTTGTTTTTATAATTTGCTCTTGGCGTACAGGTGTTGGGGCAAAGAGACTCATCGCATGTAAATAAACAAATAATCACATCTTTCTGATTTGAATGGCTGCGCTGTCAGACGTGACAAAGGATTTTGCAGCACATGCTGCAATAAGATATTTTAAATCTCATTCGAAGCCTGTCAGCTTCCCTACTCCACGGAAGGGAGATAGTGAACAGCACATACTTCAAAGAGACATTTTAAGGACTAAAAACACGTTCACGTGGGGCTTTGAAAATGCATATAAATCACAGGTGTTAACACTGAGATCTCGTTTATTTGAAATTGTGTCTGTTTGCAATGCAGCCCTGACCTCCCCTCGCTGCTATGCGCCAGGGCGCTGTCAGGCAGGAGGATATGGCTGCCTGGCTGCCCACCTTGGGGAAGCACAAAGAGACAGTGGGATTGAGGTTGACCTTGGTGGCTGAGCACAGTGGCGTGGGACATGTCTGTCCTGGTGGTAGCATCGTGCCCACTGGCTGCTGGAAAGCAGTCAGTGTCACATTTTAGGAGAAAAGGCTGTATTTTTTCATGTCCAATTTTCATGCTAATTACTTAAATACACTTGGAAAAGAAAACACCAAATACCCAACAATGAAAGAGTGTTGAAGTTGAAAAGTCCTGCACAGGACTCACAGCCTTGCCAACCCCTGGAGGCCCAACAACCTGCAATCACGTCTGGGTTTCTGCAGGACCCCTGCCTCCTTCAGGAAATGGCAAGAGGTTTAGGATTTCCTTTCCAGCTGTTCAGGACACACCGCTCCAGCCCCAGGCTTCCTGCAAAGCCATAAGTCTTTAAGAGCCCTACACAGCAAGGCTTTGCAGGTATTACTACACTCACCTCCCCAGGCCTGTGCGGTAGGTAGGAGACTGATGCTGCCTCATTTTCCCCTGGTGAAGAGACATGCACCAGGACCAGGGTAATTACCTACAAAAGCACACCTGGATTCTGGGATTTGAGGCACTTAGACCAGGAGCTTTGGAACATTAGCAATTTTTACAATGCTTTGCACATTCAGAGCACAGCTCCAAGTGTAATGAAGGGTGCTCAGCACTTGCCACTCTAATAGCAACCCAGGAATGAGGGCATTATCCAGGTTGTCCGTGAAGAATAGATGAAAATATCCTTTTGTGGGAAAACCAGCAGTCATTCACAACCCACATGCAGAAAGGGTCTGAGTTACAGTTGCACAAGCACTCATGTTGTTGGCATTTCCTTATACCTCAGGCTGCAATGCCCGAGGAGGTTTTTCACTGTGGTGTCATTAGTACCAAGTTCTGCTGTATCCATGGACACACCTGGGACAAGCCAGAGGCAGGAGACAATGACCACAGGGCTGAGCACAGCAGCATGGGTGCTCAGAGCATGCCCTGGGCCAGCCAGAGGTAGTGGGGCTGCATCCTTGCCACAGCCTTGCCAGCACTGCTGTGCTTGGCCTTATTACCTCTGCAACTTGGAATCACAGAAACATTATTACCACCATACTCTAACCAACTGAGCTGATCTCAGGGTTATACAGGTTGGAAAAGACCTCTAAGATCACCGAGTGACCTCACTGATTACTTTGGAGTGGTCGAATGATTTATGTACCAACTGATACGTACGATGGGAGTGTATGATGTGTGACACAGACCATATTAGCTGGGCATTTGGTACCTGCTGTGGAAATGCAGTTAAACACCACTCAGGAGACAAGCAACTGGCTGTGTTAGAGGCCAGTGTTGTCTTTGTCCTTGCAAACTTTTCTGCCCACTGCCACGTATGGGCTCTATGCTTCCTATTCCCCTCTATGAATTCCCAGGCTTCCAGCTGAAAATCCATCCAGGCCTGTGGGGATTTGTTTTCCTTTGTGGCACAGTGGACACTGATGCAAATCTAAGGCCCTTTACAAATGCAGACCAGCACTTTCCTCCCATGCCTTGCTGGATATATACATAATCATTTGGGATAAGCCTGGAAGAGTAACGTGAACCTCACTGCAAACCCACCAGTCCCCAGTGACAGGATGGGGGCCTGGGAGCAACCTCCATAAAGCTTTCCAGTGTCATGGGGTGGAATCTGTCCACATTTGGACAGCCCAACAGCTCACATGTGGGTGGCTCCCACGAGTCCAGTGCAAGGGGGTACCCACCAGTGAGTTTAGCACAGTGGGTTCTGGCGAGATGCCGGCCCAGTTCTGGGAAGATGGAAGGGAAGAGGGAAGACGAGGCATCATCTCGCCGACAGCGCCTTCCTGAGTGGGCTTGAAGGCTTTTTTTTGTTGATTTTTTCTTCCTTCCCCCTGCCCCCAAGTTGCCAGAAGGCGTCGAGTCAATTGTCTGCAGCGAATTCAGCGGGCCGGTGCCTGGAGGGGGCGCGGGCGCGGGGCGTCGGGGGCGGGCGTGCGGGCGGGGTCGGTGCGGGGGGCGGGGGCGGTGCGGTGCGGGCGGTGCGGGGACGCGGGCGCGGGGACGGCGGGCGGCGGCGGGCGGGGTACGGCGATGTTTCGAGGGCTGGCGGAGGCGGCGGAGCGGTGGTGCGACGCCGGCCTCCAAGCTCATCGCGCCGAGGACGAGCGCGCATGGCATTCCTAGCGCGACCGCGTCTCCTTCTACGGCTGTGGCCAGGCCGGCCTGCCGGGGACAATTTCGTGAGTGCCCCGGGAGGGATCGGGGTGCGGCGTGCCCGGGTGCCCCGCTGGTGGCGGGAGCGGGTGGAACCATTGCGTCTTGGGAACACTCCGCCGTGCGGTCCGCCGTGCTTGGGGGGGCCGAGGGGAGGGCGAGAGGGCGGAGGACGGGGTGCCAGGAGGAGGGATGACGGTGATGGAGACGCGGGGCGCGGGCCGGGGGGATCTCCCACAGTCTGCAAAATGAGTCTGATGGCGTGGGGCGCCGCGTCAGGGCAACCCTCGATCCCATAACATCGCCCGCCGGAGGCGCGGGCCCCGGGCGGGCGGGGAGAGGGTGAGCGACTGCGGGTTGCAGTGCTGCTCCCCCGCGGCTCATCCTCCCGGGAGCCGGGCTGGGGCAGGCGCAGTGGAGGCGGACTGGCAGGACTGTCACGGCAAATGGAGAATGGGCAGGGATAAAATGGAGTCAGGATGACAGGAGGGCCGCGCCCCCCCCGCCGCTCCCCTGGGCCCGCCGGGGCCGGGGAATCCGGGCATGCGCCGCGGCCGCCGCGCCCCTTCCTCGCCCGCCCGTCGCCGATTTCAGCCGCAAGTTCGTGCAGAAAAGGCACCGGCACCACAGCACTGGGCTTTGGGAAGGGTGTCGGGGGGTGCTTTTCCCCTCGTCCAGACCCTCCCGGTGGTGAGCAGAAGTGCAGGAAGAGTCACCGAAAAGCGGCACCTCGACACGAGGTTTGTAACCTGCCAAGTGCGAGTTAACTTCAATGAAAGGGTTTTAATTTGCTCTATTTTTTTTTTAACAAAATAGCTCCTAGCACAGATCATTATTGTAGGAATGCTGTAGGTCTTTCCCTTCCCGGAGCAAGTCTTCTCCCTCCACCTGCTTGACAAATATTCGCTAATTCCCTTTTGAACAGGTAAGTGCAGAGTTAGCTCATTTGACAGATGGGTCCATGGAAACAAAGAATAGTGAAGTGACTTCTCCTGGACCACAGATCCCAGCAAGCAGGATATTTATTTATTGTGTTGGGCAGATGGTCATGCTGAATTATGAAAGAAGTTATCTGGAGTTTAGTTATGCATCTGTCCAGGGATGATACGTGAGATCTCCAGCTGTAGCAGTGGAGCATCTCAGGGTGTGGAGTCTCTCTGTCCTCTGTGGGACTAGCCCTGCACATCCATCTTCCCAGCACCTATGAGCCTGTCAGACCCCAGTGCTCATTCCTCTCTAGAGATACCTGTGCCCAGAAAGGGCCATGCCTGATGGACTCTTAAGCAGGGATAAATCCAGTGCAGCACTAGGCTGAAACTATGATTGGACACTAATGCTATTGGAAATTGCAAAGAAAGCCCATTATTTTTCTTAGACATGTTTTGTTTCTTTATGCACTGCTCAGTAATTGAGTGAACTCTTTCAAATCAAAATCTAGTCAACTTTAAAAAAAAATCTTAAGCAGTTTCAGACTCAATTCCCATGCTTCCAACACTGACCTTTTTTTTTTTTTGAGTTTTCAGTCACATTTCCCCCTCTTTTGACAAATATTTTCATTCCAGGGTACCTGTGGGAAAGACTCCCTGCCCAGAGCCACCAGTAGTAAACCTGAACGGAAGGACCAACTCTTATATGGAACATAAACAGTGGAAAAATAGAAGCAGTGTTTTCTTCTGTCTCTTTCAGCATTAGTACTTGAGGCACTTTTTGTAATGATAATACTTTTAAAACAGGCAAATAGGTGTCATTCTTAATTTTTTTCCTGTTGATAGTGTCTCTTTAATGTGATTATGACCCACTAATGAGCAGATTCTCCAGAATCCTGTTTTCTGCTCCTAGTAGGGCTTAATTTCTAGTCCCAGCTTGACTATCTTGGGTTTTTTTGCAGTCTTTTTTTTTTCCTTATTTTCCAGAAGATAACTTTCCTTTCTACATGCAATTACAGGCTAAAGTTTATTTTAAGAAGAGTTAATAAAAGCCAAGAGTCTGATTGTAATTTGCACTTTAAGCCTTGTTGCATGGCTCCTTTGGCACAATGGAGTGTGAAAGTGAGTAAATATAAACAGAATTCACAGTGACACACTTTACAGCCTTTTTGCACCCTGTGACTCCTATAAAGGAGCCTTACATTTAATAAGTATCTGGTGCCTGGTATTCTTGTACTCTTTTTTTATGTCTCTATTTCATAATAATGCAACTTAAAAAGCTATGTAGGAGGTGCCAGAGAAGTCCGTGATAACCCACTTGTAAGGAGGAAATGATGAGCCTGATGTACTTATAAGGGAGGAGGAGAAAAACTTGGAAAGGTTGTCAAGATCCAATCTGGGGGAGAATAATTCTGAATTTTGTATAAAATCAGAGATGCCAGATCACAACAATCAAATATTTTTAATTTCCTGAAAAGCTATATTTGAGCTAGGTCTTTAACATGGTAGAGATGCAGGAAACCCACGCAGACACTTATTGACATTTTCAGTACCACTTGGACACTAAAACTCTCTGAATCAGCATTTTAGATAGCTGAACTATGTATAATTTAGCTCCCGAGGCTTGTGGTGTTCTCAAGAAATTAATTGGCCTTGTGTAACCATAATCAAGGAGGGTGAGGGTTGTGATGCTATTCCTTGTCGTCTGTCATTTGTTTTGTCACCATGTTATTTATATACTGGTATTCAAAGTAACTGATAAAATAAATAAAAATATGAGGCCATTTTGATTCAAGATTTCCTGTAAAATATTTTAGAACAGAACCAGTGAGTCTGAATATTTTCTGCAAATGGAATTATCCTCACACAGAAAAAGTTTTGCTGCCATGCTCAACGAGTCGACTGGTTAGAAAAAGGTGGTCTAGCAAGTGACTTTGTTGTCCAGCAACACTGAGTGATCTAAAAGTGTGAGGGAAAGCAAACCCTTCCAGATGCAGCCTTATGAATTGTCTCAGCTATCTGCAGTGTGTAGATGCTGAGCTAAATAATTCAACCATGATCCTAGGTCAGCTGAGGTGGAAATTAGTGTCTGTGTGCTTTTGTAGTGACACAAAGCAACTGTGAGCAAAACTGGGCAAGCTTGGAAAACACATACTCAGATGATGAGGTTAATATTTTTTTAATTAAACAGCCACAGCTGGGCACTGTGGTCCACCAGCTTGACAGCAGACTGCTTCTCCCACTGCAAAGAGATCCTTAGGCATTAGGTTTTCCAGGAAAAGCATCTCCTTATGTGTAGCCTTAATTACTGCTTTAACTTTTTAAGCAGGAGCTGAATCCTCAAATTACATTTGTTTTTATTTTGAGGTACCAAAATTCCTTTTGAAGGTTCCTCTGGAGTCGCATGAGTCAGTGCTGAGACAGTTCCTGCACTGCCTTGGTGCAACACTGAACCTCCACAGAGAGCTGTAGGCATTATAACCTATAGGCATTATAGCCCTGGTATTTATTATGGTTGAGGTTTTTAGGGGGCAAAGATAAAATCAAGCCATTTCCGAAGGAGATGCGTGCACTAATGGCATGTGAGACCTTTCATAGTGCATTTGTTGCTACAGTCAACATTTGAAATCTTCTGCACATGGAGAGATTGTTGGAAGCCTTACTTGCTTATTGCCTCACGATGCTATGCAAAAAAGTCTCCTCAAAAACTCAGTGATCGAGATACTCCCTTAGGTTTGTCCCTTATGCTAGATCATCTTATTCTGCAATACTGCTGACGAATTCACACTGGAGTCTAAAACATGGTACAGCTTGAAAAGAGATTGTAAAAACATGGTAGGACAACATGGAGTTACCTTTCCCTGGGGAACGAAGTACCTATTATTCATTAAAGGGCGGGACTTGATTTTTATTTATGTAGAAGCTCCTGTGTATAGCTCTGGTAGTCGAAAGAAGCCACAATTTAAACAAGAATGAGGATCTCAGCAGTCATAATCGTTTTATACATATAAACAATTACAACAGATTTAGTACGAGCCAGGAATTGCCAAGCTGCAATATCCAGCTCTGAACTTCGATGGAAAGATTAGGAATAACTGCAGAATTATTGCTAACCTGAAGTAAGGAGCCAGAGCTCCAAAATCTTGAGGCTGTTCTTAAAATGTTCTAATTTGAAAGTGTTCATTGGTTATTTTATAGAGGGCTTATTTGAGTTCACTTCATGTACCTTCTGCCTTTTTAGACCGTAGAAATCACAAAGTGCAGGCTTTTCTTCTGCCTTTTTTTTTGTAAACAGAAGCTGAGATTTAGTTGTATATTTATAGGTTTGCAAGGCCCATGACTCTAAGATGGCATGAAGTATCATGAGACTTGTGGTATGTGCATTTGAGAGTTGGCAAGACTGCAAAGAACTTATTTTTATTGCCAGAATGGTTAAGAGATGACTCTGGTTATATGGAAGAGCAGAACCTACTCAGTAATGCAGAGTTGTTTTCATAACAAAACATTTCACTATGTTTATGCTTGTAAAATGCAACAAGCAGCAAAGAAAATGTAGGTCAAGTGAGGTTCATAGCAAAGCAGCTAGTTTTTATCTTAAAGGTGCAGCTTAGATGATGTTAAGTACTGTTTTCTTTCTTTAAGTGTAAAACTGCATCCCTGGTGGGTACTCACCACTGAAGGGGAAGGTGACATGCAAGCCTTATGTTAGGGATTGAAACATCTGTCATTTTGAGTCTTTCCCTGAATGTTAGTTAAGCTTCAGAGAGACCCTCCTTTTTCCTTGTTTAAGTACTGTAACCTGCTGTTTATAGCAGAGTAAAAAGCTGCACGGCACTTTGGGGAAAAGAGCTGCTGTGCAAAAAGAGAGGTACCAGTCTCAAAACAATTTGGCAGTATCGTGCTTCTCTGTGTAGCTGACTGCCTAAGACAGTTCCATACAAAAAATCTTCCAAAAGAAAGTCTTTAAGGTTATACATTAGCTTGTGCTGTGTGCTGCCCTTCTTGTCTGAGCACTCCCACCATCACTTGCCAGCTCTGTTTCAAACGAAAATCCTCCTAGCAGCAGAATAAACACCAGTTTTGGGAGAGGTTTCGCAGAGTCGGGCTGGGGGAGCAGCATCTCTGAAGCGGGAGCAAGATGAGAGGAAGATCTGAAATGGGTTTAAGTGTGCCTACCTGTGAAGAGATGATCAGGTTGTAAGGGGAGTAAACCTCAAAACAGGGAGGGAGGCTTGAATTGTCAGGATGTTGTGAGTGCCCAAACATCTCTCCTTGGCTCTGTGTCTAGACTGCGGGTGTATTTTACATCTTTTCTTCTGCATCGTCAAGAGAATTACACATCAAGTTCCACCTCCAGGGTCACATCATATTTGCACTAACGCCAGGAACAGAAAGAGATGCTTTGTCTCCCTGAGGGCTTCATTGCAGTGGGTGATGCAGAAGAGGAGAAAACCCAATGTGACTTCCAGGTCTGAGCAGGGCTGATGTCAAATGAAAACACCTTTATGGGTAAAATGTGCATGCACAAAGTGTGCATACCCTTCATTGCTGGTGCAGTCACGAGGCATTTTCACTTCTGGATCTGTTTCCCTGCTTTCTGATGCATCGTGTTAATAAAATGCAGGTTCCTTCTCAGAAGTGTGGCTTCTGAAACAGCCTGCAGCGCCTGTCCCCAGGGCGGGTCTTGAACTGCAGGAGGCTCGGTGTACTTTGGCAGATGTTTACAACATGTGACCTTATAAAATCACATGGAAAGGTTGGCGTGAATTCCTGTTAATGCCTTTACTTTCTTGTGTTGCTGTTGGCTTTCAGCACGTGTGGAGCGAAAGTGAAGACTGCTTACCTTTTCTGCAGCTCGCACAGGATTACATCTCCTCCTGTGGGAAAAAGACACTCCATGAAATATTGGAAAAAGTCTTCAAATCCTTCAGACCTGTAAGTGCTTTTTTTTTTACTTCTAAACGTTGACTGTTGCCTGTGACTTAATAGAGCAGCACTGGATAGAGCAAGGTGTTTTTTTCTTCTCCAGGAACTTATACCTCCAGTCAGCTGCCTGGGCGCATGAGTGTTATACATAAACTACCGTTAGGCTGTTGGAAATTGTTTCTTGGAAGTTAGCTGCCTTTTTGTTTCCATCTCTGTGTTTGAGAGGATGAGACTCCCATCCGGGGTGGGAGGCCAACTGGTGTGTCAGCCAGTGGCAGCGGGCAGGGACTTGCATCCTGCTGATGCAGCGCTGACTCCGAGGAACGGGACACGAGTCAGCGCTGCGGGACTTTGTGGCAGAGTTGTTTCCTGGCACTCGAATTGGGGAGTTTTGCAAGGATATGAGTAGCAAGAGTAGACCTCTGGGAAGCTGGAAGTACGGTTTCTCCTCAGAGTGATTTGTTTTATTTTATGGTTGGCTTTTTTTTTTCCTCCCGAGTGATCCAGATTTTGCTCTTAGGATGGTTGCCACTTGGTATTTGCAAACGCCAGTTTGGTCACTGCTTGAGAAGAAGTTGGAACAGAAGCTGGGTTTTGTGGAGAGGGGGCATGTGTGTTTCTGTTTTGCTGCTGCTCAGCTTTCTCTGTCCTTGTTTAACACTAAGATTTGGGTCAAAGCCTGGATTTCATTAGGGTGAGGTGTCTTAGGCTGGCTGTTGTCCTTCATTTTTGCCAAATCCTCCCTTTACCCAGCCTCTCCTTTTGAATGCTTGGGGCTGGCTGATGACTTGGTGCAGAGCAGAGGTTCATTGCCAGAGCCATTCTCCCATGATGTCCTTGAGAAAGTTGACTGATGGACATCTTTATACTCAACTGAAAATGTAGACCTTTTCCCCTCCTGTCTTTTTCTGGATGACTAACTGAGAAGACCGAAAATGTATCCCAAGTATTTAGTGCAAAAGGGAGGGCCTGGAGCACCGATATGAAAGCACTGGCCCTCCCTGTGTTACACCCTTGCAATGATTTGCCGCAGACCGCCACAGCTGGGTGACATAAAAGAGCATAATTTTAAAGAATCCTTTGAGAGGCTGGAAATAAATAGAACAGATGCATACTTTTCTTAGAAAGGACTGGAAATCTAATCTGTCACTACAGCTGCTTGTAATTGTGAAAACATACAAAAAAATATAAATATGTTTCCCAGAACAGTATTTGGCTCTTGGATCTTCATAGTTGTTTTCTCCTGCTCAGAGAAGCTGTCTCTGATGAGAAACTTCCACTGGTTTAACTAAAGAGGACTTCAGAAAGACTTAATTCAATTGGTACAGATTACTTATTTCATTTAAACCACATTTATTTCTGCGTAGGTTAAGTTACTGAGAAATTCAGTCAAACCAAGTTGAGTTACTCTTCAAAATAAAAAGGTTCAAAGCAGGAGGAACTATTATGCTCATGTAGCCTGGGCCCTTCATTAATACATCACATTTCACCCCATGATTCTGACAACCAAGCGCATAAATCATGGTTGAACTGGAATGTGTCTTTTCCAAAGACACCCACTCTTGATGTAAAGTCTTCGGGTGAATTAAAGGATACAACCCTGCTGGGCACTTTCTCTTCTCATTATTAGTTATGGTGCTCTGAAAGTCTCTTTTGTTTGCAATCTACGTTCTTCTAGTTTTGGTTCCTAGCTGTTGAATTTCATTTTGCTTTTGTTTGCTCAAAAATGGTGTCCTCAACTGCCAGAAACCTCTTGCAGACTGTAATCAAGTACCTCTTCATTTTCTCTTGGATGTACCACAAAGAATAAGTTTCTCAGATTCTACTTTGGCCTAGTACTGAGAGATTTGCATCTGTATAACAAAACTGGGTTTATGATTTGAGGTATGGTTTTATGTAGATAAGTCTAATAAGGAATGTATTGACATTTTTCCCTTATTGTAATTATTAAAAATAGCACATACATGGTAGGAAAGATTTTTAAAACTGTGTGGTGTTACCATAGATGTATGGAAACAGTTATTTTGTGCCCTCAGGCCTTTTCCAGAACAAAATCACTTTTCTTCAGTACTGGGAAATTATTTCCTTGGCATCGCTTCATGCTGTCCCACATCCTTTTTCTGCTGGACCCCTTTCACTAATGAAACCACCTTGCTGTCAGCTTTAAGGCAACAGTGCATTTGCAGGGCATTTCTTCTCCACTGTCCCAAGCAAATCTGCTGTCAGAGACCAGTCTGGCAAACTTCAGTTTGAAAAATGTCAGTTTAGGTAAAAACTGCTGAAAGTCAGACTGGGCTCTTCTGAAGTATCTGGTGGTCCTGGCTATCAGTCTGGGAGGAGGGGGACTAGGTTTTTGGCATGTGCTTGCTAAGCACCTTTTGAGAGTCTTCTCTATTTCAGTATTCCCAACAGACATCCAAGATTATTAGACAGTTCTGAAATTCTTTGTTGGAGTCCTTTGACGGGAAATACTTAGAAGAAAATGACAGTGCATCTGCATCTTTCCATGCCCTTATGCACAGCATGAGCATCTGCCCTCCCATAACTGAGGGGTCCAAGACCAATATTTGTCCAGTAACTGAGCTCAGCTCTGCTCTGCACATTCACAGTGACAGACCAGCTGTGACTTCACAAGCTTACCCTGAGGCTGTGGGGTAGGAAGGGACTGGCTGCTGCACAGGGCCCTGTGTTTCAGACAGTAAGAACAGGGATGCCCAGCAGTTGGCATCTGTCTCAATGAGAGACAGATTTCCCTCTACTCACTACTCTTCCCTGGGCACAGAAGGCAATGAGGGTGCTCTGGGGCTGCTCACCAACCCTCAGCTCTCAGGCATCTCTCCCTAATGTTACAGTGCCAGAGCAAGATATTTCATTAGACAAGGCTTTTAAAACGTGTTGGTTAACCTGCAGCAGCCAAACCACACCTCTAAATCCTGCTGTAGGCAAGGTCAGGCTTTTTCTTTACTGAAGTTGGGGGGGGATGTTGTCTTTGCCCATTAATGCCTTCCTGGATCAGTTTCCACAAAACTCTGATTTGCCTTATTATCCACTTATTCAGGGAACATCCAAAAGTGCCAGACACCATGCAGGTACATGGTATCAATCAACAGCACTGGGCTCAAATACTGTTACTTGCCTCAGAGCATCCCACTCCTCCAATGCCCTTGTCTCTCTGGTGTCAGAGGTGCCACGCTCAGGTGCCAGAGGTGCCCATGCTAGTGCTTGTAAGCATATCTGCCTGGAGACTAAGCCCTTTCCACAAGGATTCAGCAGAACTGTGTTGTCTTTAGTGTAGCATCACATGGACCACTAAAGCTCAGTCTTGTATTTGGTTAATTTATCAGTCTGCCTGTGCATCAGCTTTTGGTAGGAGGCAATGTCACTCTGCCTCTGTGACTCAATAACTACTAGATTATTTGTATAAAATCAGGGCACTTGGGAAGAGTTAAGAAAGACAAATTTAAGAAATGCCTGAGGGACATCACACGAACTGGCAACGTTTGCAGAGAACCAGGGCATGAGTTGTACAATTCAGCGGCAAATTCCGGGTGTCGCACACCGCGCTCCTCTTCAGCCTGAAAAAGCCTACATCTGAACTAGGGAGTCTACAGTGTAAAAGCCATTTATCCCATATTCACTGAATTCATACATATCCTGGTGACCTCTCCTTTACCTCCAGATGGGTAGTTTGGACAGCAGGAATAAATAGAGGTAGTTCAGGCAGTGCTGCCACTGGTTGTTATCTTCTCTCCCTGCTTTCCTCCCTCCCTTCTCACCATGCTCCTGTCTTCCTCCTCTCCACGGGTCTCCCTCCACCTGGCAGTTTTGTTCCCCTTGGCTCTTTGACTGATGGATCAGCTCTCTGTTTCTACACCCCTTTCCTCTTTTACCTCTTTTCTCCTTATTTTTGCTCTCCAGTTAAATCCTTTCAAGTCTGCCACATAGCTGATAATGTAATATGTGAAGCAGATATGGATTAGAAGCAGAAACTAGTGTGTTTGAAAGAAGACAAGGTCGGAGTTAGTCTAGGGTCAACTCAGGCCATCTTCATCATCTTATTTTGTCCTTATCTTTTGTACGCCCCCCTTCCATTTTGACCCAGTGTTTGTAGAGCTCCCTGCACTTTGGACCCTGATCATCCCTCCTTGGTGTCAAGGTGTGGACTGATTTGCCACTGCAGTCCAGAGAGCAGTAAGGGGTTAACAGCAGTGAGGGACCATAGTCCTGTGGGAGGCGATGGGATTCAGACTGTAAAAGTGAGATCTGCATGGTCAAGGTCCTTGGTGCCTTGGAAAGTCATAAAGTGTCCGTGAGAGAATAAAACTGCATCTTCCTTGGAGGAGCCTCCCATCCTATCCCGTCCCATCCTATCCTATCCCATCCCATCCCATCCCATCCCACCCCACCCCACCCTATCCCATTCCACTCCACCCCACTTCATCCCATCCCCATCCTTCCTCCATAAAACCACCAACATCTGCAGCATCACTCTTATTTGTGCTGCCCCAGGGGAAGAAGAGCTGGGTTTCCCAAGGGCGAAGAGAGAGGGGATGTGTGAAAAGCAGGATGCTTTGGGACTGTATAAGTCTTTGTGGTTCTTGTGGTGTATGTTGTGTTTTCCATGCTCATGTTTGCATGAGGAAGTCTTGCAGGATCCCATAAAATGAAAACTCATGGGCCTCATTTCCTTGCAAATCAAGGAGGAATTATAACCAGAACTGGGAAAAAAAAAATACGGTCAAAACGCTTTCTGCCAGGTGATGTAAACAGAGGAGTACAACACTCACATTTAATTTGAATCCACTAGATCAGTTTAGCAAAAAATAATACTGGTGTATAAGAAAGTCTAGAGAGCCCTTGCTTTTGCCTTTTGAAAACTGAGTATTTTAATTTTAGCTTCAACACAAACCAAAACCCCCGCATCCTGAAAATGAACGAAGCAGTTTCGCGTTCAGTTAAGCATTTGATTTGACAGATATGTACACATAGGAGTTTACTTTGTTCTGCCAGAAGACAAGAACATTTTCCGTTTGGGGTCTCGCTGTAAGTATTTTTAAAATACAAAGGAGGGGATTTAGTCAGAAAATTCTCCTTCCATTTCCCTGCTGAAGAAGCCCTGCAACTAAAAAACTGATTGTCTCCCAATGACAGTGAGGAATACAAGCTTCATTGCATTCAGAAGCTAATTCTGTGTGTTGTATTTGTGTCCACTGAATAATCTTGAATGTCGATCCCAGACTAAATTAGTTTAGGTCCCTGAAAATCTGCCTTGTCTCATTTTTGTGCTCTCACCTAGCGAGTGTCACCCTCCTCCCAGTTTTTATGGGCTTTGCCTCTTTCAAGAGCTAACAGCTGCATCATTCTCCAAACAGAGTCTTTCATGCATCTGCGCTGATCTTCCAGCCCTTGCAAGCTAAATACATGGTATTCCCAGTAATGCCTGGCATATGATTTTGCTTTGTGGCTATTAATAGCCATTAGTGTAGGATTCTAATATGAGATTTCCACAACAGATGTGTTATTTTGAGTATTATTTGGTTTATCTCTCTTCCTGACTTCTGTTGGCTTGGCAACCTTTTGGAGGAGAGGAGAAAAGTTCAAACATGGCTGTTTGCTCCTTTTCCTGTAGTGAACAAGACATGTTGCAGTGATCGGAGCCATCAGGTGGAGGCATCCAAACATTGTCCAAAGAAGACGGGCTTGCAGTTCCTCACAAGCCCAGATCTAATTTGCAGAAGTTTAAAGGGGCTCAGACAGTTTTGAGTGGAATACACAGTATTTCTCACTACAAGGGCTTCACCCAGTGTACAAGGCTTTGTCTGGTGTATCAGAGTGAAGGGTTCAAGAGAAGCATTTAACAGGCTGGATTCTTGAGGTTTTTAGGGAGTCCTTTCCTACTCCATACTAGCCAGTTCTGCATGAGGATGCTTTTTTCTTTGGCTTTTATAGTGTTGCTAAAAAACAGTCTTAAACCAAGATAACTACTGCTACAGTATTATCATGATTCTTTCTGAAGTTAAACCACTGCCAAGTCTTAAACACTCAACAATTCATAATGCAACCTCAGGGAAGAATGTGAAGCTTTTTGCAAGTGCTTTGTTTTGGTTTTATTTATCTTCCGGTCTCTGAGCACTTAATTTGGTGTGAGGATGCATTTTCAACTCTTTCTTTATCCCAGGAGGGAGAGAAAGAGAGCCAAGATCATTATGCAATACTGTTATTCCAGGGTTTAAGGTTTTCAAGAAGTGCCATGTAGGATTTGTGTGAAGATTTGCAGTAAAGCTGCATGAGTGGGTAATTCACTGTTACACAGTATTTTCTCTTCTTTGTAGTTACTTGGGCTTCCAGATGTTGATGATGATGCATTTGAAGAATATAACGCAGATGTGGAAGAAGAGGAACCAGAAGCTGATCACCAACAGATGGGTGTCAGTCAGCAGTGATTTTCTGAGAAGCTAAAATAATTCGGAAGCCTTTGGTACCAGGTGGGGTCAGGTGGTCCCACGTTAGCCTGTTCGAATTAGCACATCACAAGGGGATATCTGGCTGCCAAGATAAAAGTTTCACAAAAAATGGTTTTAAAAAAAAAAAAAATAATAATAATTTGTGATGAGCTTTGCTAAGAAGTGACCTGAATTTTGCTCCTGCTTCAGTGGGTTTTCTATGGAGTTGTCTTGGTAGCATTCTGCCGCTATCAGTCTAGAAGTAGTTTTGTTGCTGACTTGTCTCTTCGATTTGTGCTCGAGAGTAGCATTCGCTGACGTGAATGTAGAGTACCGAGAATGTAGGAAACGTGTGGTGAGAGTGCCGAGTCCTCACCGGTGACCTTTCCAAGGAAACCAGCGCAGAGAGCAAACACCACACAACCTGCGCTCTTCTGTTTAGTTCAACAGCTATAGTTTTTGAAAAAGTACCAAACTTGGAGAAACTTCTCCTTAAAAACAGTAGTTTAATAGTGGTTGGTGCTGCAGAAGTGCATGTGAAGGCTTAACAAAAATAATGGGAAGTGGGAAATCCAGGGGGTGTCAGACATATTAATGTTGTTTTACTGACACCTGAGTTTACAAGTGCTGAATTAATAACTGGGAGTAATGTGTATCAGCAGCAAACATTATTGCCAGCCCTGGTACTCAAAACACCATGTGATCCAAAGGCAAGTGCTGCTTTCTTACAAATGAAGTAAAAAATAGCCATTGCCTATCTCACTTCTGCATGACAACCAACTTTAAGCTTTGCTGGTTTTGATACACTGCCAAACTATTACTCAAACCTCGTGGCATCGTGAATTAGAATCATAGAATATACTGAGTTTGAAGAGACCCATAAGGATCATCAAGTCCAACTCCTGGCCCTGCACAGAAGACCCCAACAATCACACCGTGTGCCTGAGAGTGTTGTCCAAATGCTTCTTGAGCTCAGGCAGGCTTGGTGCTGTGACCACTTCCATTGGGAGCCTGTTCTAGTGCTCAACTACCCTCTGAGTGAAAAACCTTTTCCTGATATCTAATCTAAAGCTCCCCCAACTCAGCTTCCTGCCATTTCCTTGAGTCCTGTCACTGGTCACGAGAGTGAAGAGATCAGTACCCACCCCTCTGCTTCCCCTCCTGAGGATGTTGAAGACCGCAGTGAGGTTTCCCCTCAGTCTCCTCCAGGCTGAACAAACCAAGTGACCTCAACTGCCCCTCATACGGCTTCGCCTCCAGACCCTGCGCCATCCTCGTGGCCCTCCTTTGGATGCTCCCTAATAGCCTAATGGCTTTCTTATATTGTGGTACCCAAAACTGCACAAAATATTCAAGGTGAGGCCACACCAGTGCAGAGCAGAGTGAGACAATCCCCTCCCTGGACCTGCCTAATGCCCCCTAGGACATGGTTGGCCCTCCTGGCTGCCAGGGCACTGCTGACTCATATTCAACTTGCCATTGACCAGGATCCCCAGGTACCTTTCCATAGTACTGCTCTCCAGCCTCTCCTTCCCTAGTCTATACACACAACCAGGATTGCCCTGTCCTAGGTGCAGAATCCAGCATTTGCCCTTGTTAAACTTCATCGAGTTGGTGAGAGATTGCCCATCTCCCTAATTTGTTGCGGTCTCTCTGCAGGGCCTCTGTGCCCTGGAGGGAGTCACTAAATTGCTCCTCCCAATTTAGTGTTTTGGCAAACCTACTTAGTATTCCTTTGAGTCCTGCATCCATGTTGTTAATGAAGATGCTGAAGAGAACTGGGCTGAGAATGGAGCACTGTGGAACTCCACTAGTGACTGGATGCCAGCCCAGTGTTACCCCATTCAGTATAACTCCTCTGCCCAACCTGTGAGCCAGTTGCTCACTTAACACAGTTATCCAGCTTGGTCCTGGACACTTTGTCCAGAAGGATACTGAGAGAGTATCAAAAACTTTGCTGAAGTCCAAAAAGATGACATCTGCTGGCTTTCCTAGATCAGGTAGGTGAGTTACCCTGTCATACAAGGAAATAAGGTTCTACAAGCAGGACTTTCCCCTCATGAAGCCGAGCTGGCTGTGGCTGAAGAGTGTGTTGTCCTCCAGGTGTTTTTCAATACCTCCCAGAATAATCTTTTCCAAGATTTTATTGGGCACCGAAGTGAGACTGACTGGCCTGTTGTTTCCAGGGTCCTTCTTGAGTGCACCTTAAGTGCAGCTTGAGTGCAACCTAACATTGAAGCCATAGGGATATAAACCAGCACCTGGTTCTTAAAATTATGCTGGACCTCTTCCTCTCCCTGGGCCTTTGAGCTAGTGTGGTCATTTACACCTCTTTGAAGGGGAGTTAAAATACTACTACTTTGACTGATACAAAATCTAGTGAGTTTTATTTATCAGGGAACTTGCTCCCCAGAAGGGTTTGGTGAGGGTCTTGGTATAAAGGAGAGGAAGACCCTCATGTTTTATACCTGTTTTGCATAGATTTAAGTGACTTGGATGAGTGCCAGACTGTGAAGATGCAGGGTCTCTTTATTTACTTGCCTTTTGTACTGAAAATTTAAGAAGCAAAGGTAATTCTGTTGTAATACAGCTGAAGAAAAATGTTTCTAAATTCACTCCTTTTTTCCAATTTTTTAAAAACCATTAGACGAAGGTCACACGCTTCAAAAGCCCTTTTATACAGAATTAGCTTTATAAAAACAAAGAGTGAGTGAAGAGAAAATGCTTGGACAACTCCTAGAAACAGCTCTCATCATTTTGAAAACCCTATTATTAACAATGTCTCCTTTTCAATAGATTTTTTAAAGACTCTTTTTCCAAGGTTACTAAAGAGAGCAAGTTTTCTTGGTGGTTTGATGATAGTGGCTTCAGAGATGCATAGCACATGATTTTTTCAGTTGGAGGCAAAGACCTTCTGTAACTGGGATGATGTGTGGTACCTGAGTCTGCACAGAAGTGTCTACAACACTGTAAAAGTCAGAGTTTAAGAACATAACAAGAAAAAAAAGTGGAAGAAAACCAGGGCTTAATGCAACTTTGTACATTCTTTCAGCATGCAGCGTAAACATGGTAGTCGCAGCACATTTTCTATGGACTAGTGACGTGAGAACTGTGGCAGTTCATTGTATAACACTGTACAGCAGCAATAGGCTTTTTGCTTACTAAAATAAAGTGTAAGACCAGTGGTTTCCATCCCTGCTTTAAGTCCCTAAATTTTTCTTTCCTCTCCAGCTAGGACAGATATTATAACCTCAAACAAAGCCTTCCTCCAGGAAAACCTTTCTCTTCATAGCATCCAGTCCTTGGGTCGTGGCTCATACAAGTAGGGGCTGACTTTCCTCTGCTCTAGCATAATGCAAGCAAGCAGTTTACAGTAGCCCAAGCAGGAGGAATAGTCCTGCCATCCAGGTTTGCTGGCCACTTGCACCCTTTTGACTCAGGGGGAGGTGCAGGCGTCCACACACACACACCTGCAGAAGCTGTGGCATGGCTGCATCGTGAGCTGGGCTGAGGGGTCTGTCTGACTGGCATATAACCCTCTGCCTTTTTACAGACAGGTAGTTTTCCAGCTGGATCAATCCTACCATGTGGCTAAGTGTGTGGCTGCACAGACGAGTGCCAGCACAGCAGAGGGGAGGGTGCAGGGGTGGACTGGGCTAGTAGCTGAAGACCTGCTGCTAAATGGGCCTTGCACAGTGTTAGGGGCCCACGGTGGAGGTGCAGACCAGCCTAAATGCTGTGAAGGATTGACTCCACAAGGCTCAGTGGAGAACTGGGCTCTGGCTGGCAGCAGGATACATGGCAATTCAGGAAATGAGGAAAGACTGTAGGATCCAGTGCTTGCAACTGTGTACAGGAGATTGTAATATGTACTGCACTCTACTACCTTTCCCTGTGTATTGATTGAATTGTTAGTGAGGGGTTGAACAAGCAAACAACGCTGTAAGTTATGTAGATATATTATTATTATCTGTATTCACTAACTTACTTTTTTTTGGAATGCCATATACCATTTGGGTGACTTCCACACCAGACTACAAGTGCTGGACAGCTGGGGTCCCTTCTGCAGTGCACAGGCCTGCAAAACTCCCACTGATGCCAGCAAGATTTTGTTCAGATGGGACCTGCAGGACCAGGGGATGCGTGAGGCTTGGTCCTGCACAGAGCTGAGCGCTCTCGTTCCCTCTCACTTTGTTAGGAGTGGAATGTGTTGAGCCCTGCTGCTGAACTGAAGCATGACCAACCAGCACTGAGAATAAACTGGAATTTTATACATAGAAAATTTAATTTACATGTGTAATAAATGTGAATGAGCATTAATATAGAATGTATTTTATCGAAAAATATTGATTCCTTACTTTGACCAAATACATTTCTGTATTACTGTGTTACTTGTTCCATGCTTGCCAAACGATGCAAGAGATGCAAAACTGGTTTGGTTGTATTATGAAGTGGTTTTATATTTTATTTGTATTTTATTTTTCCCTCCCTCCCACCAACTATTGCAGTTAGTAGCCATTCAATAATTAATTAAGGGTAGCATGACCCAGTGGCTAGGCTTGCGACTGAGACAAAAGGTTTGCCAACATAAATGCTTCCAAACCTGGGAAATGAGTGAAAAGATGTGGATTCGAAGCCATTGCCTCGCCTTGAGCTTCAAGTGGGTCTCGGTGGCTGGGTGTTCAAAGCAGGCCTCTAGAAAATTTAGAAGGAGGAGGGTAACTCCTTCGAAAGTGCCACCTTCATCCTTTTGTAAAAGGGACTATATTATTTACCCAGCAGTGTATACAGTGCTTTAGATCTGTGGGTGTAAAGAGGCGCTCATGATCATTGCCTATCCTCAAAGCAAACCACTAATGAAAGGACATAGAAGTGTGTCCCTTTTCCCTTGCCCTTTTCTTGTAGGCATTTCATGCTCTAACTGAATATAAATATACCAGAACAGAACCTTTTGCAGAATTGGCACTTCTGAATATGAGTGGCATGGATGCAGTGAGCAGAGTGCGCTTGGGGGATGAGAAATACATGGGATGCCAGAGGGAAGCATAGATTTCAGAAATGTGACAGCTGGTTTGGGTAGCAGGGGCAAGAGTGAGCAAGGCCCCTTCCAGAGAGATGCTGTGATTTCTGAGACAGTCCAAACCATCCTGCCAAATGTCTGCTTATTGAACCCGTGCAGTTTATAAAAAAGCTCCTCAGAGCTTTGGGGCCTTGAGCTCAGTCATATTTTTCCATTAGTGTCCTGCCTGATGAATGCATTCAGGTGATTGAGGGGGGAAGGGGTGGAGAAAAAGCAAACTGAAAAGCCTTCTTCTCTTCCTCAACATTATGATACTGTGTGAGTATGTAGGAGCAGCAGTCAGGGTGCAGGGTGTTCTGTTAGTGCCCAGTAACATCTCTTAAAAGGACTTGCTCCGTGCATAGTGCTGTGCCTTTGAAAGTCTCGTACTTGTAAAGAATGCCTCTTTTTATGGGAATAGCCAGAGTTAGTTTTCCTGCACCAGTGACCTGCACACCAGCTGCTGCCTCTTGTTGCCTTGTCCCACATAAGGTGTGCAGTGTGACATGGGTCCTGGGGGCAGCGTGGAGGAGTTCCTGCTACAAGATAGCTTAGTAGGTCACTGCCCTTTCCCCCTTTACAAGGTGGGACATGAGGCTGTGGCAGTAAAAGTGATTGCAATAACATTGTGGGCGTTGTTTTGGAAAGGTGCCATTCAGGACATATTCCCAGCCTCTTTCATCATGTTTCCTGATCTTTCTCTGGGATCCAGGGCGGACATCCATGGCTGTTTTGCTCAACATCAGGTTTAGCTGTGGCAGGAGGCGAGGTTACCAGTTCATCCATCCTTACTCTGTGTCCATCCTTAGCCTGTGTCCATACTTCCCTCCTGTTTGTCCTTACCATTCTGTTCTTTTCA